CACGAAACAGGCTTGTTAGGTTGAAACAGTAGTTTTTGTGATTTTTTCAACATCACTACATATACAATGTGCCTTCCCGGCTATCACAACTGTGCAATGCTGACTCCTGCACTTGAGACACAGGGCGTATGGTTACACATTGTATTGTTTATATTGTACAGTAACCATAGTGCTCAAAACTATAAAGGTGTGGTTTGTAAATCGCAAAAACTTTGAACGTCTCCGTATAAGACTCTCTACACAATCGAAGAGTGCTCAAACTACGCACGAACAGTGAGTGTAATACACAAAGTGTATATACAATGTGCCCTACCGCCCATCACCTGATTAAAATGGTGACTCCTGCACTTGGGACACAGGATGTATGGTTACACCTTGTATGGATTGTATTGTAGAGTCCCCACAGTGTTCAAACCTATAAAGGTGAGCTTTGCATATCGCGAACATGGTGAACGTCTCCATATGAGACTCTACACAATCAGACAGTGCTCAAACTACGCACGCGCAGTGAGCGTAATATACAAAGTGTATATACAATGCGCCTCCCGGCTATCACCTCTGTGTAATGATGACTCCTGCACATGGGATGCCAGACGTATGGTTACACAATGTATGGAATGTATTTTAGAGTCACCAAAGGGCTCAAACCTATAAAGGTGAGCATTGCATATATATGTATATATACATGATTTAAGATTGGTAATCCAGGAATATTTAATTTATAAAAAAAAAGATTCTCCGGATTGTATAAAATGATTTTTATTGAGCTTTCAACACGTTGTTTCTAGCCTTTATCCGAATGAGAAAACATTATTTACACTTCCTTTTAGCTTGTAAATGTTCAAACTTATCTAAGGCAACTGCTTTCAGTGACTCTTTCGTTGATGGATTGGATATATATCTGGATTCTTTGGTTGTTTTCGCAAATAGTTCGTTTTCTTTTACATGAGGATTTCGTCTGATGTGGACTTCTACTAAGCACCAACATAACTACAGCTTTCGTTTCATCACTTACAAGTGATCGTAAACTGTGTCAGTTGATTAACCAAGTCCTGTACTTTGTGGTAAGTAGGTTGACCACGTCCAATACGTTATAGTGGTTAACATACACATGAATGTATGAGTAAGGCGTTTTACAAAGAACACTAACTAGTTAACTAATAGTATATTTAAGTATATGACAATAATAAGTATAATTTACATGATTATGGATTATCATTTAACACCCTTCCCCATAAAAAAAGAAAGATTGAAAAGCTTTCTTTAAGATAATAATGTTCTAAGGTCGTGAGAGACTATCAGCGATGACGTTGTCTCTACCTTTAAGGTGTTTGATAACAAGGTTAATTTCAGATAATAATAGACTCCAACGGAGCAAAAGTTGATTGCTGGTCTTCATTTTATTGATGAAAACGAGAGGGTTGTGATCGTTAAAACTTCAAGCGGATTTCCACATGAAGAAACATAGACATCAAAGTGTTGTAGGGCCAAGATTAGAGCTAAACATTCCTTTTCAATACTGGAGTAATTTTGTTGATGAGTATTAAATTTTCTTGAAAAATAACATACCGGGTGATCGACACCATCATTGTATTCTTGTAACAAAACTGCTCCTGCTGCAACATCACTTGCATCGACAGCAAGTTTGAAGGGGCGTTTAAAATCTGGAGCGGACAAAACCGGGAAATTATGTAATAGGGCTTTTAGCTGGTCAAAAGCGTTCTGGCATGAGGTTGTCCAAGTAACATTGACATTTTTCCGTAGCAAATTGGTCAACGGTTCGGTTATTGTTGAAAAGTTTGGGCAAAATTTTCGATAATATTTAGCCATACCGAGAAAACGCATTGAGTTTTTTTTTGAAGTAGGCTGTGGAAATTTGGAGATCGCTTCGACCTTAGCATTGACTGGTTTTACTTGACCTTGTCCGACTATATGTCCAAGATATGTCACATGACCACATCGAAATTCGCTTTTCGCAAGGTTGATGGTGAGACGAGCCTCACATAACCTTCGAAAAACCTGCCGCATTATTTTCAGATGTTCTTCCCATATATCACTAAAGATAATTGCATCATCAATATACCCTTCACATCTTTTGATGTTCATTATAATGTGATTAATCAAACGTTGGAATGTCGCTGGAGAGTTTTTTATACCAAATGGCATGACTTTATACTGAAAAAGTCCCTTGGGTGTAACGAATGCAGATGTTTCTTTTGCTCTGTCACTCTATCGTATCTGCCAAAATGCTTTTAGAGGATCGAATTTGGAAACAAACTTTGCATTACCAATTTTGCCAACACAATCATCCATACGTGGAATGGGAAAGGTATCGGTTTTAGTAACAGTGTTTACTTTTCTATAATCCGTGCACATTCTATAAGTGCCATCAGGTTTGGGAACCAAAATACATGGTGAACACCAACTGCTGTGGCTGGGTTCATTTAAATCGTGCTCGAGTAGATATTCGATTTCTTTATTGAGGTCCTTTTCTTTTGTAGGGTTAAGACGGTATGGGTGCTGTTTTATAGGTACTGCATCGCCTACATCCACATCGTGCTCAATAAGGTGACTTCGGGAGGGCACATCAGGAAATAACTCGAGATGTTGGTTGAGGAGATTTTCTATATCAGCTTTCTGTGTTGAATAAAGATGAGTGAGTTTGGAAGGAATATTCTTCAAGATATCAGAGTTGCTCAGCTTACTTGCAGTGTCAGTTAAAGTTGAAAGTTATTCCTCAAATACATTACTCACTACACTTCCTACATTCTCTTTCCTTTCTCTTTTTTTATCGAAATAAGGCTTTAACATATTTACATGGCATAGCTGATTTTTCTTACGCCTATCTGGAGTTATGATGACATAATTCAAATCACTCACTTTCTTCTCAATAACATACGGACCATAATATCTAGTCTGAAGAGGTGTTCCTGGAATTTTCAGTAACGCAAGTACTTTGTCGCCAACATTGAAATTCCGCGTAATTGAATTTTTATCGTATTTTTCTTTTATGCAATTTTGAGCTGATTCAAGGTTTGTTCGAGCAATTTCGCATGCAGTGGTCAACTTGTTTCGGAAATCTGAAACATGAGTTAATAAATTCGTTGGATTATTTTACTTAGTTAAGAGTTTCTCCTTTAGAAGTTTTAGTGGTCCTCTGACCGTGTGTCCAAAAACAAGTTTAAATGGGGTGAAACCTAACGATTCTTGGACAGAATCACGAGCCGCAAACAGAAGGAAATAAACACCTTCATCTCAATCCTTTTCTTTATCTTGGCAATACATGCGAATCATATTTTTAAGTGTTTGATGAAAACGTTCTAACACTCCTTGACTTTCCGGATGATAGGCACTAGATTTGAATTGCGTTATATTTAATTTATGCATAACTTATTGGAATAAGCCGGACATGAAATTTGAGCCTTGATCTGACTGGATTGAGTTTGGAAGTCCAACAAGCGTAAAAAATTTGGTCAAAGCTTGCACAATAGTTTTAGCTCGAATATTTCGCAAAGGAATCGCTTCTGGGAATCTAGTTGAAGCGCACATAATAGTTAATAGATATTCATTTCCCTTTTTGGTTTTTGGTAGTGGTGCTACGCAATCAATGAGAACTCGACTGAGCGGTTCTTCAAATGCTAGAATTGGCTGTAGAGGTGCTTTTGGAATAGTTTGATTTGGTTTACCCACTACTTGACAGACATGGCAAGTCTTAATAAACTCTGCAACATCCTTCCTTAGTCCTGGCCAATAAAAATGTTTAATGATTTTATTATAAGTCTTATTTACCCTTAAATGTCCTAAAAGTAGGGTTTCATGCGCTAGACTAAGAATATCATGATGATATGCTTGAGTTGCAACTATCTAATATAGATACGCCCATTCATCGTTTACCGAAGTGTGTGGTGGTCGCCATTTCCTCATTACTACACCATTCCTGATATAATAACAAACGGGATCGCTTTTGACATCTGCTTCTTCCGAAGCCTTGTGATAAAGTGTTGAAACGTTGGGGTCATTTTGTTGTTTCTCGATAAGATAGGACTTAGATATACTTCCTTGCTGTATAAAGCTAATTTTCGAATTTTCGAAGGATTTTCGTTTTCAAAAATATCGTGAAGAAACGTGTTTTCTATTTGCATGTCCTTATTTTCCGTGTTTTTAAGATTTCCGTCTCGTCGTCGTTTTCTTAAAGCTCTTGTTATTGCACATGAAGGATATAAATCCGGGATTACTTGCTCAATGAGGTTGGATTGTTTTTTGAAAACTGGTTTGTTGCTTAAAACGGGACCTGCTTGTACATTTTCCCCTGCCAAATCGTTGCCTAGTAATAGATGAATTCCAGCAAAGGGCAAGGTGTTGATAACACCTATCACAACATCACCTTTTATAAGATCAGATTGCAATTTAATATTGTGTAAGGGAATTGATTCGTATTCAGTGGAACTTATGCCACGAATCAACACATTCTTTCCTGAGTATGACTGTTCGGAAAATGGCAAAGTATTGCCCAATATTACTGATTGTGAAGCTCCTGCATCTCGGAGTATTTTAATTGGAACATAAACTGGTTGACGGTTGGAGTTAATTGTGACATTACCATCATGAATAAAAGGTTTAAAAGTTTCCATATCACTGTCACTGAAATCTTTGTACTTGGTTGCTGTGATATTAATGTGTAGTGTTTCATGCGGTAATGCTTTGTTCGGATTCTCCTGTGCATTCTTACGAGTGGTTTTGTGTACAGATTTATTTGTGTTGTGTATATTTTGATCGGATCTTGAATGAATCCCCGTCGGTCTTAATGGTGGTCTGTTCGATTTCAACAAATAATATTCAGATTTTGTGTGCCCTTTTCGTTTGCAATTATTGCAAATTACTTGTCGAAATGGGGAATTACCGGGTGAATATTGCTTCCCTTGGTATTGCATGCTTTTGAAATTTTGTTTTGTTTGACCTCCGTTGCCTTGTAAGTTTTGTCTGCCTTATGCGTATTTGTTCGGTAACCGCGATGAAAATCCTGACGAATGTGTTTGTTTTCCATCAAGTGTGTTTTGAGTGTTTCTTTGTGAAAACGGATGTGGGTTAGTTTTAACTGCAAATTTATGAGTAAGCGAAAAATTATCAGCAAGACTGGCCGCTCACTAAGAGTCTTAGGATTTTGCTCGTTAAAGGACATGGGACATATATTTTTTCATGTCGCAATATCATTCATTGCAGTTTAGTATTCCGTTAAACATTATTTTTCCGGTTTGAAAACATATATTTAAAGCGCAATTTAGAATGAAAGTTTGCTTATTTCAAGGGCTGTTCCGCCATCTTGAAATGAGCAGCCAAAATAATTATATTTCATATGTGACGTCACAACAGGGAGACTTTGTCGCTGATGAATATTGTTTATATTGCAAATTGACAAGCATTCTCATTTATTACGCAAAGTTTGGGACTTTACACTGCTGTTACAGCACTCAAAATCGAAAATATTAACAAAGATGCTATGGTTCAGTCATATATGTTTGAGTCAATGCCAGATGAATTTGTAGAGAGTGAGAATTCTGACTCAGAAAGTTCTTCGTCGAGCGAAGTAGATGATCAGATAGACGAGGAGTTTGAAGCTATGTATAGTTGGCGTAAAACTTCACTCAGTTGCTGTAAATGCGGCCATTGTGAGTTTATGGCAAAAACGATTGAATGCTTTTGCTTTCATGAAAAAGCGGTTGAATATGACGAATATGATGGCAAACTTAAATCGGCACAGGATGCAGGCTTGTCTTGCGTGACTGAACTTGCTTTCTTCAATCAAAACATATCGGCAAACGTCCTTGAAATAGATACTTGGCAGTATATTGAAGAAAACAGTCCGTTAGGTGATGACGAACTTGCAGTCATACAAAAAATATACCGTCATGTTGCGTATCGAAGATGTTCGAGATGGATTTTCCATATTCTTGGCAAGAAATGTCGAAGGCCATTTCCATCTTGCATGTACAAATGCATACGAGAGAAGTATTGGTCATCTGATGCACTTTACACTCATTTCAAATATGCCAAGTAAATTGAAATTGGATTTGAGGTATTTGCGATTTCAAGGCTTTTAAATTTTCATCATGTATTGTTGCATTTCATGGTTTGGCAACCACAACTTTCCGTACATGGACGATTCTTATTCCTACAATAACATCGGCTTGTAGCACATTTTCCCTTGCAAAGACATACTTTGTCATTTATTTTATCGTCGGGCAAAGCAGGCGTTGTAAATCTACTGTGTCTGCGAAGAATGACTTCATTTTTTGGCTGCCTTTGCTTCCCACACAAGTATGTTTCCACAAGTGAGGGAGGTTCTTCCGGAAGCAATGTTTTTGCATTCTCCAATGCTATTTTTGTGGTGTTGAAATCTTTACGAAGTCTCAGACACTCAGTCAGAACATCTTGCACATAATCTGAAAATTTTAAATGTATTTTGCATTAACATTTTGTCATTAATGATTCTGATTTGTCTATTAATTCTTACTGTAGGTAGGACAGTCGCTTATTGGTTTGGCCACAGCTTTTTCTCCTTTGTGAGCTTTAGGGTATGCAACTGACCATCTTTTATCACCTTTTTGTGTTGTTGCTTGGGGTCTATTAGCATTTTCATAATAATGTAAATTTGCACAAAATAACCTGAAAAATTCACAATGGGTAACTGTATAGGCTGGAATAACACATTACTCTTTATTGGTCAAATCAACCCTTTTTTAAAGTAAAATATGTGAGAAAAAATGCATGTTTTCACCTGGCCATGATTGAGTGATATGGATAGTATGTATTTTTGATGCAAAAGATTATCAAGTGAATGTTTTGCCTCCAAGCCTGATGTTTGTTGGTGACTTGACAACTTTCTAACTGCACTTATCAATCTTGGTCTTGAAATAAGTTCAGTTAGTTTCTTATGAGCTGCACTACCTTAAAAAGTATAAAGAGGTCAGTCTTATGAATAGATTGATAGGAAGCAAGATTATAATATACATGCAAATGCTTCGAGACCTGTTAAAGAACAGGTGCCCCGTGCACTTATTTTTTTTGTGTATAGTGATGAAGTCTCCATGAATGAATTGGAGCTAGATACTACCCTTTACCTTTTTTTAACCATTGCCGTTTAGTAGCTTCATGCAAGCATTTGGTAAACACCTTGTTGTCTTCATGAGTATGAATATCAGCAATGTGATTTGCCAAACTTTTCCACTTTTCTTCTTTTTCAATTTCAGTGCTGCTGGAGCTTGCCACCCAATACAAATGATTTATGATGGACTGTTAGATAAAGTTTAAGATATAGCTACAAGTATCACTCATACTTCTCTGGAATGGCATGATATACATTTTTTAAATGTAGTTACCCCAATCCAAGGCTTAATTGCACAAAATTTCTTCTTTTTTGCAAGTTTAAGTAACCTCTTTTTCTCTCCTAAAAGGTTCAATTTAAATACATCATACTTAATCACATGATTCACAATTCTAGTGATTTGATCCACAACTGATGCACTTATATTTGAGTGATTAATACTTGCAAACAGAGAATTAGCTGCACCTTTGGCCACATGCCAAACATCATAAACATGTTCTATTTCTGGCTTCTCCTTAGCCATGTGTCTGTCAGTCACAAGCTTGGTAATTTTAACATCACCATTTTCGAGGTATGCAAGTTGACGCTTGATGGATTCTAGCTCCATGGCGTTGGAATTCTTGACTTCAGTGCTCTGAGTATTGATAAAGTATAGAGAAATATCATACGAAAGAAGACTATATTATATCAACGGAATATTTTCAGACGATCATTATAATATGTTAATAACCTCTGTCATTACCTTTATGATCTGTGTATCAAGTATGACATTGTTATCGACGTCCAAAGAACTCCCGGAACCAAACAACCCGCTGTGACCTGGGCTATCTACTCGCATATCTGACGCAATACAGCAAGTTTGTCCTTTTAGTTTTTTGTAACAATCTCTTTTTTCTCACCACCCCAAACATTGAACACGGCAGGTATAACATACGCCGATTGCAATCTTGATAATTCACGACGTGTGAAACATTTTATTTTCAATGCACTGAGAAGTCGAAGAACCTTAGCCCATTCTAGCCCTGTGGCCAAGATGCCTGAGGCCAGCATCAGGTGAAATACCGGTAGTCTATTACACAAGGGGCCTGTGCACCATGTAAAGCTATGGGTTTCGTCTAGTAAGCATTGAACAGATATTCTGGAAAAGGTTCCAATGGTGTTTGCTACGCTAACAAGGCATTTACTACCACATTTAGAGCAGCGATCGAAACATTCAACCAGGGAATCTTCAAACACAATAAATTTCCTTTGATCTTGCGGAAGCTTGTTGCGTGACAAAATCTTACTCGTGCATTTAGATTCTACATTGCTGTTAATATTGTCTTCGAACTCTGAGTCTTCACTATTTGTATCTCCAAGTACGAATTCTTCAGTATCTGTATCTTGCTCCTGATCATATTCATTTCTATCATTTTTGTCCACAGTTTTGGAAAATCTGTTATCGTCAAGACCAATATCAGATGTGCCAAATGGCAACTGTACACAACCCAGAGTGGCTTTTGTTTCATCTGTCTGTGAACTAGTGGATGTCATTTTTGCACTTTTTGTAAAAAGGTCTGCCTTTAGTCTCTCTGCCGTTATGAATGTTTGAACAGCGACACAACTGAGATATGCCTCCCAGTTGTGACGTCATTGCATAAATCTGCATATCACATTATATTCAAAACAAATCAAAATGGCCGCGGAACTTTTAAATTGGAGTCAGAAAAACCTTTGTTACATGAAGACAAAAACTTTGGTTGAACTAACAAAGGTATATTATAAGTCTATGCGATATTTCCCGTTAATTAAGTCTAACTTAAAATATACGTCCCATGTCCTTTAAGGAAAATTCGTGTTTCAGAGTGGATACAATATTTGAATTCTTCCAATAAAATTAACTGCCGTAAAGTTTCAAAATCTTGGACTTTTTCCGAAGTAACCATCGATCGAAAAGTTGAGCTTTTTGTTCAGCAAATTATTAGTCGGGACGTTTGTAACAAAATTGGGGGCCCACCCGGGAAAGAAATGTTTCAAGTTATTCAATTAAGCAGAAGTCAAAACGAAAAAGAAAATAGAATCCGAAACAAATCGAAATCATTTCAAAAACAAAATTTCACATCAATATTTTATAAACAACAAAAAGAGAAAAATCATTTATTAAAGTAAACTTGTGGACCAGTTGTTTCAACATGTCTCCATTTAACCCAGAAGAGTTTATGGTGGAACCAACATATGAGAAGATATGGAAATTAAGAAAAGATGATATAAAAGCTTTAGGGAAATATCTTAAGGTCGAATTAAACATTTCAATGTCTAAACACGAAATACAGCATGTAATTTCAAAAAGATTATGCAACGATTAACTCGTTGATAAAGCAGTTTTAGAAAACCTAAGTATTTTCATGCAAAATACAAGAGGTGAAGTAGATAGCATTGCACAAACAGATGTTAGTCAGGAAGAGTCAGACGAAAGACAATGCGAAGAGAGGAAGAAGAAATAAGGTGGAGAAAAAAACGCGAAAGTCTTGAATGGGATAATTGCTGATAATTTTTCGCATACTCATAAATTTGCAGTTAAAACTAACCCACATCCGTTTTCACCAAGAAACACTCCAAACACACTTGATGGAAAACAAATACATTCGTCACGATTTTCATCGCGGTTTCCGAACAATTACGCACAAGGCAGACAAAACTTACAAGGCAACGGAAGTCAAACAAAACAAAATTTCAAAAGCATGCAATACCAAGGAAAGCAATATTGACCCGGTAATTCCCCATTTCGACAAGTAATTTGCGATTATTGCAAACGAAAAGGACACACAAAATCTGAATGTTATTTGTTGAAATGGAACAGACCACCATCAAGACCGACGGGAGTTCTTTCAAGATCCGATAAAAATATACACAACACAAATATATCTGTACACAAAACCACTCGTAAGAATGCACAGGAGAATCCGAAGAAACCATTGCCGCATGAAACACTACACCATAATATCACAGCAAATAAGCGCAAAGATTTCAGTGACAGTGATATGGAAACTTTTAAACCTTTTATTCATGATGGTAATGTCACAGTTAACTCCAACCGTCAACCAGTTTATGTTCCAATTAAAATACTCCGAGATACAGCAGCTTCACAATCAGTAATATTGGGCAATACTTTGCCATTTTCCGAGTAGTCATACTCAGGAAAGAATGTGCTGATTCGTGGCATAAGTTCCGCTAAATACGAATCAATTCCCTTACACAATTTTAAATTGCAATCTGATCTTATAAAAGGTGATGTTGTGATAGGTGTTATCAACACCTTGCCCTTTGCTGGAATTCATCTATTACTAGGCAACAATTTGGCAGGGGAAAAGGTACAAGCAGGTCCCGTTTTAAGCAACAAACCAGTTTTCAAAAAACAATCCAACCTCACTGAGCAAGTAATCCCGGATTTATATCCTTCATGTGCAATAACAAGAGCTTTAAGAAAACGACGAGACGAAAATCTTAAAAACACGGAAAATAAGGACATACAAATAGAAAACACATTTCTTCACGATATTTTTGAAAACGAAAATCCTTCGAAAATTCGAAAATTAGCTTTATACAGCAAGGAAGTATATCTAAGTCCGATCTTATCGAGAAACAACAAAATGACCCCAACGTTTCAACACTTTATCACAAGGCTTCGGAAGAAGCAGATGTCAAAAGCGATCCCGTTTGTTATTATATCAGGAATGGTGTATTAATGAGGAAATGGCGACCACCACACACTTCGGTAAACGATGAATGGGCGTATCGATATCAGATAGTTGCAACTCAAGCATATCATCATGATATTCTTAGTCTAGCGCATGAAACCCTACTTTCAGGATATTTAGGGGTAAATAAGACTTATAATAAAATCATTACACATTTTTATTGGTCAGGACTAAGGAAGGATGTTGCAGAGTTTTGTAAGACTTGCCATGTCTGTCAAGTCATGGGTAAACCAAATCAAACTATTCCAAAAGCACCTCTACAGCCAATTCCAGCTTTTGAAGAACCGCTCAGTCGAGTTCTCACTGATTGCGTAGGACCACTACCAAAAACCAAAAAGGGAAATGAATATCTATTAACTATTATGTGCGCTTCAACTAGATTCCCAGAAGCGATTCCTTTGCGAAATATTCGAGCTAAAACTATTGTAAAAGCTTTGACCAAATTTTTTTACGCTTTTGGACTTCCAAACTCAATCCAATCATATTAAGGTCCAAATTTCATGTCCGGCTGATTCCAACAAGTTATGCATGAATTAAATATTACGCAATTCAAATCTAGTGGCCATCATCCAGAAAGTCAAGGAGCGTTAGAATGTTTTCATCAAACACTTAAAAGTATGTATCGCATTTATTGTCAAGATAAAGAAAAGGATTGCGATAAAGGTGTTCATTTCCTTCTGTTTGCGGCTCGTGATTCTGTCCAAGAATCGTTAGGTTTCACCCCATTTGAATTTGTTTTTGGACACACGGTCAGAGGACCACTAAAACTTCTCAAGGAGAACTCTTAAGTGAGGAAAATAATCCAACGAATCTATTAACTCAA